TAACTACGACTACCATGACCAATGCTTTTGCTGCTGCTACTGCGACCATTATTGCTGCTGCTACTATGATCACGACTACATTCACCATTATTGCTACTACTACTTCTCCTACGGTTATTACCCCTACGACTACTACAACGGTTCGTAGTACAGCTACTGCTACTACGGCTACTACTTGTACGACTACGATTTCAAGTTTGCAGTTATCTCTACGGCCACACCGAATAGCGGTAGCACTAATATCGTTATTACCACTACTACCACTACCACGAGTACTACATTGACTTGTTTTCATCATTCGACTACGTAGACGGCGACCCACACATTTTTTCAGCTACCGCGCTTATTGCTATTCCAGCCGCTCTTAGATTTTCACGGCTACGAGTGCCACCGCTATCACGACGATTCGTGCTACCACTATTATTGCTAGCTTGAACTACCACCACTACGACAATTACTACAACTGCCCCGGTTACTCCAACACTTACGACTGCTACTACTACGGCTACTACTGCGACTACGATTACTACGACTATTGTTCCTATTACTATTGCGACCACTATCACTACGACGGTTACTTCTGCTACTACTACTACTACTACGAATACGAGTACTACTCCTGCTATTACTACTACTGCTACTCCTCCGATTGCTAGCAATACTACGATTACTACTGTGACTAGTTCTACGACTACTACCACGACAATTATGACTCGTATTCTTACCACCACTGATACGACTACCACCAAGACTCCTCTTGCCACTACTTTCCCATATGTTTCCCTAATCGCACGATCACGGTTACGAGTATTACTACGACTACGATAACTAATCTTACAACTACGATGTTCATGATTATTTCTGTTATTACTACTACTACTACTACTACTACTACTACTACTACTACGACTACTACTCCTACAACTATTACTACTACGACTACTACTACTACTACTACTACGACTACTACTACGATTACTACTACTATTAATACTACCATTACTATTAGTATTACTCTTACGAGTACTGCTACTACGACTACTACTACTACTACTACCACTACTACTACTACTACTACTACTACTACTACTACTACTACTACTACTACGACTACCACAGGTACTGCTACCACTACTACGACCACGACTACTAACAGCGCTGCTACCACTACTACCACACGACGACTGCGTTCGTCTGTGTACCAGTATTATTAGTATTTCTGCGAATACTGGTGCTACCACTACTAGTACCGCTACGACGGCGCTGCGCCATCTACTACTGCTTCTACCCCTACGACTACTGCGCTTCCACTGCTTCTGCGTTTGCCACCTATTTCAAGTACTACTACTACTACTACTACTACTACTTTTACGCTCACTGCTACTACTATCACCCGTGTTATTATTCGTTCTACTACTACTACAACTACCATTGTTTCGATGTTTGCCTCTAGTACTCCCGCTATTAGACGACGACTGCTGCTACTACTACTACGACTACTACTAGTTCTACGATTACTAGTGTTACGACGACGGCTACTACTACTATTACCTCTACTACTACTACTACTACTACTACTACTACTACTACTACCACTACTACTACCACTACTACTACTACTACTACTACTACTACTACTACTACTACTACGACCACGATTACTAATAGCACGGTGGCTCCTAGTAGTACAACAATTACGAGTAGCAGTGTTATTGCAGTTTTAATGTTTCTAGTGGGGCAGCTAGAACGGAACATTCCGTCTCTGAATGCGGTCATGCAGATTCAGTCAGGCCATTATGTAGCGCCCCATAGTTGAGGCCAGCACAACAGGGTGGCACACAAGGGTCAGCCGTAACAAACCACAGGGCTTCAGAATGTATCGGCAGATCCCATGAGGAACAGAGCGTGACATAACCTATCGAGACGTATTGTGGCAGGACAGCACGCAGTACTTCACACCATACTTTCGAACAGAAGAAAGGGGTTGAGCAAAATAGTGCGGACGGGGCATACTATGACAGAACAGGAAACACCGAATGTGACATTGTATGGCCGAGGAGAACACAGTAGAGCCAAGCAAAGCACATCATAACATAGTAACATATGATACAGGTTACCTGGGTAGAGCAGAATACTCCAGAACATGATAGAAACATGCAGCGACTAACTGTTACAGTTTAGGAACCGTGCCCCCGACCCGTCAGACCCGCTTAGAATTCCGCAGCCGCAATACCTCGAGGACCACCCGTCCCGCCGCGCGCTTCCGACGACATGCACGTGGTCACGGCGCCCCGCCGTCTGAGCGTCACAACGTCATTCCGTTGCCAAGGAGTAGCACCTTCACATAAATTTCATAACATTTGGTAATGAACAGTAATGCTGTATAACCGAAAATGGACAACATGGCAAAGTATAGTTCGACAGGACGGAACAGGGCCAGACCATGCCGTAACATACTATAGCAGTAAAAGGACAAGTTTCTGCAATTTCTGTGCGTCATATGTGTTCACACAGGTGAGAACAACATGCTCGGAACTACCGTACTATGACATACGAGGAAAACAGCGTGAATCACGACCGAAGGAAAACATTTTGAGCACACGATATACTGCAGCACCAACGAAGTGGACATGGCAGAACACATTCTACCATTACAGGCTAGGACCCAACAGGACATAACATAACAAAATTGCATGCAAGGTACTACTGGGTAGTAATATGTTCCAACGAACTAAGATGGCACTACAGAACAGGATTGACCATAATACGCCAAAGCCACACACACTTTGTATGTGTAGTGTGCAGAACGAGACATCTTCGAACATGACAGACGGGACCAGGTGATGAAATTGAAGAAACGATCACAACACAACACGAAGTCGCACCGCTCATGAGTTCAAAAGAAAAGTCGGCATATAGCACAACAAAGTAAAGCACACCATGCGATGATAGAAGAGAGTCGAACTTACGTGGGGCATTACAGGGTTTACGATGAACGACCAGGATTCGACTAACCGCTGCATAATATGAGCGAGTGTGCGATATACACATGATGATATTGAAAATGATGTTGGTGATGGGAATGATGATGATGATGATGATGATGATGATGATGATGATGATGATGATGATGATGATGATGATGATGATGATGATGATGATGGCGATGGTACGCCATAACCTGGCATGCTTTAGCACACGATCGCACAACGAAGCATTGCGTAAGATAACAGAACGGCGGAGTAGCTGTAACAGCGTCATCTTCCACCGTTCGCTCCGTTCGCTTCATCTTCCGCATTGCTGCACGCATCGTCCCAGCAGGCGCACGCAACGTTGGGGACAATCGACGAAGATTTCGTTGGGGCTCGCTTGAAGCAAAACCGTGTTATATTCTTGGTGCCGATGGCGGTCCTCCGCCCTGCAGCGAAGACTCCGGAGTCCGATTCCAAAAGGTCCGGGGAGGGGGGGGAAGCGGCTCGCTCACTGTGCCCAGGAGGTCGGGCGGGGCCCTGGTTTCCCGGCCGCTCTTTCGACCTGGGTCCGGGGAGCCTGTGCGTGGCCAGGGTTGGCCGTGGCCTGGATCTTTTTTTTTTTTTTTTTTCTCTCTCTCTCTCTCTCTCTCTCTCTCTCTCTCTCTCTATATATATATATATATATCTTTCTCTCTCTCTCTCTCTCTCTCTCTCTCTCTCTCTCTCTCTATATATATAACACTCGAACACGTAGCGCGCGTCATGTGGCCTCCAGCCCACCCACCCATCCAGTAGATAAGGAAACGCCCGCTGCCACACCCACCCCCCGTTGCATCAGCGCCTGCTGCCTAGCGCGCAAGCATGTTGCCCGTAGTGCGCGCAACGTGCTTGCTTGCAGTGTGCGCAGGCATGTGCTCGTGGTATGTACAAAAGGAGCGCTGCTCTCAGAAAACAAAAAAAACATTCGAGCGCCGGGCACGACTGTGTTATATTGTGTGCTACCGAACCCGCCCACTCAACCACATAACGCGAGTTATGTGGTTTCAAAATAGCTTGGGCTCCTGACAAGCCCCTTCGCTCCTGATTGCAGCACGACGACGCATCGCCCATGGATCGTGGATCGGGGCCCGATGGCCCATCCCGCCCAGGCCGCCCGGGTTTTCGCCATCGACGGCATATCGCTGACCGCTCGGCGACGCATCGCTGATTCAAGCTCGACGCACCCCTCCTCCCCCCCGAAATCCATCCCCCCCTGTCGCACCCCCACCCTCGTTCAGCCACGCGCAGAGGGGGGTGGGGGGAGGGGGGAGGGCTTCTTAGAAGCACCCCTGCTTCTTAGAAGGCGCGGGCCTTATCTATAGATGTAAGGCCGGTGCCTTCTAAGAAGCAGGCTGCTTCTAAGAAGACCTCCCCCCTCCCCCCACCCCCTTGTGCGCGCCGCCAACTCGTACCGCCTTGACTTGCGCTGGATCTCTGGATCTCACGCTTCCCCCGAAGCAGAGGCCCCTCCGGCGAAGGGGGTCGCGCCCACGTGCAGCCCGTCCCTCCGTGGGCGGCGCTCTCCTGCCGCCGCAGGGGGGGAGAGAGGCGCCTCCCCCGCGAGGGCGCAGGGAGGGAAGCAGGCCGGCGAGCGGGGCGGCGGCGGAGGCGGCGCAGGGAGGAGGAGCAACAAGGAGGAGGAGAAGGAGAAGGAGGAGGAGGAGGAGGAGGAGGAGGAGGAGGAGGAGGAGGAGGGAGGAGGAGGAGGAGGAGGAGGGGGGTCAATGCAAACGGGGGTCACCCAGGGGGTCTGGATCCTGCAAGAACCTGCGAAGACCCCCTCTGGCTGACCCGGGTCAGCGAGCCGCTCGTGGCCGCGAGGCGGTTGTGGATATCGGTGGGCCCGGGTTTGCGAAGCCCTGCGCTGCAGTTTTTGTTTTTTTTTCCTGCAGTGCAGTTTTTGCTTTCCTGCTGACCCGGGTCTGGATTTGACCCTTTCGGCAGAAGATCCCCGAGGAGGCGGCGCAGGGAGGCGGGGCAGCCGCCGAGGTCGTGGTGGCGCGGCTGGTCGCTGTCGGTGCTGTTCCCCGTGCTGCTGTCCACCTCCATCACGGCCTTCTACGCCCTCGGAGGCCCGCGGGCTTCCGCGGCGGCCGGGCCGCCACGGGTGCCCCGGGGGCCCCGGGCTTCCGTCGTCGCCCTCGCCCTCCCGGATCAGCGCGCGAGGGTCATCGTTTTCGGATGTGCTCGTCGATCCTCGGAGGTTTGCCAGCGTCGGGACGCCTTCCAGCGGCTGCGCCTCGCCGAGAGCGTGTACGGGGGTGCCTGGATCGTCCCAAGCTAGGGCTCGACCGGGACACCAGGGGGCGTCCCGTCGCCGAGGCAGGCGGCATTGGCCTCACGAGCCGAGCTGCGACTCCACCCGTACCCCGGGGAGCGAGCCGTCGCCAAGTCAGGCGGCCCCCCCCAAACGTGAGGCCAATGCGCATTGGCCTCACGTTGCGGGGGTGCCTCCCCGATCCTCCATGCCAGCGTGCGCCCAATTTCACTTCCGTCCTCGTCACTGGCGTTCTGCTATTCCAACCCGCTTTAGCCGCGACCACCAGAAAGAATATCGAGCACCAGGCAACTGAGCTTTTTCACGTGTCGGGCCCTGGGAGGCGACACTCGTTCGACACTGCTTCGATACCTTTCTGGATGCTCGACACTAGTTCTGGGATGTGGTCTTCAAGTACGATGGGGGCAACATAACTCGACCGTCGCCCTCGTCGTGCACATCCTCCTTGGGCCCCTCTTTGTTCCTGCCCTTCGTCCAGCGGCCGGGGGGGTTGCGCAGAGCGCCTCGGCCTCTTCCGCCTCGCGGCCCTCGTCGCTCTCGTCTTCCTTGCGCACCATGCTTCCACTGCTCCTCGCCCGTGGCCGTTTGGGATTGCGTGGGCCGTCTCGGCGGAAGGCGGCAGTCTCAAGCATGCGCAGGGTGGCCGTGGAGGTGGTAATGGAGAGGACGGCATGTGCTCGAATCCAGCAAGCCGCGGAGAGGATAGCGCGCTTGCGATATACTTGATTACGGGCAGTCTTTGTCTTGCGACGTTGAACTAGATTCCCGTAGTTGCGACGCCACTTCTTTGGAGAACGTTCAGGTCCAGAAGGCGAAGTTAGAAGGGGGTTCAAGGGTTTCGGCGCCATCAGTAATGTCAAGGCTCAAGCGCGGATAAGCAGCGCTTCGGTGGTTCCAACACAAATGGTAATGTTAGACCCAGCGGAGCATCAATGGTTGCACCTTCCAGGCTCCGATCCAGGCGACCAATCCAAGCTGAAACGGAGTAGCAATGAGTTGAATGCCGCCAACAAGTGTGGTGCGCATATCAATGAGACCGAGCACACATTCGATGGCACCAGCGCCATCGGCAAGAGAACTGTTCGGATCCAGCGGGCCGAGAGCCGCATCAGGTGGTACGACCCCGCCGACGACAACGGATGGGCTGGCGGGGAGTGGCGCGAGGGACGCGGGGTCCCGACGAAGGCCGAGGCTGCGGCGAGTCACTCGCCCGGGCTCGGCCAGTGCTCCCTCTCTCCGCTGCTCTCCTCCGCTCGCCGCGAGTGGAGAGCAGCGGCGCGGGCCGCAGCTCGCACCGCCTCGCCGACGGCGACGCCGAGAGCGTAGCCCGATAAGCATGCTGCCCTCTCTTGGGGGCGCCTCTGGTGCTCCCGCTGGCTTCGGCCGGCGGAGGCAGCCTCGCTTTGGACCGCCCTGCTTCCGCCGCCTCCCGCCGGCCTTCCGCCGCCGCCCGCGGTGGCAGAGCTGGCAGCCCCTTCGATCCTCGGAGGCGAGGCCCTCTCTCTGGGGCGCCGCGTGCTGCAGCCGCGGCGGCCGCCCGGCCCGAGGAGCCTGCCGCGGGGCGGCGCGGGGGAGAGCGGCCCGCGGCCCGCGCCGTCCCCGCCGCCCCGCGCAGAAGCAGAGGTGGCCCCGTGGATTACCAGCCTCGAACGTATCCCTATCCCTACCTAAGATTGACACGCCAAAAGGCGACGACGATCTTAGGGATCCGCCCTCAAAAAATACGGGAACCCCTAAGATTGGCATCGTGATGAGGAGGTGCCCAGCATATCACCACCCACCAAACCACCCCAACCCAACCCGAAGGCTCAGATTTACCCTCGATTTCCAGTGGGGGGGGGGTCGGGGAACATTGAAAAAACACATATGGAACCCGTACCCCCCCCCCAACCCGAAATTCGGGTCTTCGGGTTGGGTTGGGGTGGTCTGGTAGGTAGTCAGCACAGGTATAGGGGATATGTTCCAGGCTGGTAAAAATGGAGCCGGGGCGCTGCTGCCCCGGGCCCTGCGGGGGCTCGCGAGCGGCGCACTTGCCGTCGAGTCCCTCGCCGCCGCAAGCAGCCGCAAAGCTAATGCCTTGGCATCGCTCGGACGTGTGCAATTTTCCTTCGGCGAGGACCATCGAGGAGCATCCTTGATCATTTCGCAAAAAAACCACGCACGAAACCGAAAAAAGCACAGGAAATGGACGTCCGAGCGATGGCCAGATGCTGTCGGGAGAACTTGTCGATGGCGTGTCGCTCCGCTGGTTCTGGCCCACCACGCTGCGGGCCGACTCGCTGTCCATTACTCAGGAGGAAAAGAAACACACAGACACAATTAACCCTCGATTCCCCAGAAAATATGGGAAAATATGGGAAATAGGGGGAGAGACAAAAACCCAGAACATATGGGAAGATATGGGGAATCTTTTTTATTTGTGTGTATTTATTTGTGTGTCCCAGGGCCCCTTCAGTGTCGCTCCGCTGGTTCTGGCCCACCACGCTTCGGGGCGACTCGCTGTCCACTGCCCGGTCCCTCGGCGTCCATGTCACGAGCTTTTCCGAGCCTCCCGCCCGGCGAAGCGGAGCGGGCTCCCTTCGATTCTTCCGGCTCGATTTCGGTCGCTTTCGGTTCCGGTTTCCTCCGACTCGATTGCGGTTGAGTCGATGTCGGTCGAGTCGATTTTTAGGATTTTGGTTAGAATTCCGGTTTTCCCATTGCAGGCCTTACTAGTTTGGCCGAATCGATCTCTCCCGATTTGGTTGCCGAGTCCCGGCGATCCGATTTTTGCTCGATTCCCTATCCGACTCATGGATTCGATTCTGGGCTCTCTTGGGGGCTCCGCCGACTGCGGAAGCCAGCTCCGCGCCGACGACGACGCCGGCAGACGGTGACGACGGACGACACCGATGCCGACGCCGACTCCGACGCCGATGCCGACAAACGACGATGACGAGGAGGACGACGACGACGACGAAAACGACCACCAATGCCCGACGGCCGACGACCGACGGCCGACGACCGAAGACCGACGCCGACGCCGAGTCCGACACCGAAAACGAGAACGACGACGAAGACGACGACGACCACGACGATGACAACGATGTCGAAGACGACGACGTTGCCGACGTCGACGACGACGACGACAGACGACCGACGACCGACGGTCGGCGACCGACGACCGACGACCGACCACCGACGACCGACGACGGCAACGGGGAAGGACGACGACGACGGCAGCGACCACCGGCGACAGACGACAGATGACCGACGACCGACGACCGAGGACGACGCCGACAACGACGAGGACGACGACGACCGACGACACACGGCCAGGGACCGACGACCAGGTACCGACGACCAGGCACGATCGACGACGCTGACGACGCCGACGACGACCAACGACGACAGACGATGACCAACGACGGACGACGACGACGATCGACGACGACTGACGACAGACGATCGACGACGCCGACGATGACGACCAGCGACGCCGACGACGACGACGAAGACGACGACTGACGGTCGACAACGAAGACGACCGATGATTGACGAGTGGCGACCGACGATCGACGACGCCGACGATGACGGCCAGGCACGACGGACGACGACCGCGACAACAACGACGCCGACGACCACGATGCACGACGCCGTCGTCGATGCCGACGCCGACGCCGACCACGACGACGCTGACGCCGATGACGACAAACAACGACCGGAGACCCAGGAACGACTATGATGCCGAGGTCGACGACGACGCCGACGACGGCGACGTCCGAGGAATGACGACGACAATGGCGGTGACCACGGGCGATGATGACGACGACGACAACACTTACGACGACGACGACAGACGACCGTTTCGCTGATGTTGTCCAACGACGATGATCGACCAGCGACGCCGATGACGACGACGACGACGACGACCGACGACAACGACGACCAACGACAGACGACAACGACGACGACGGCGGACGACGACGACGGACGACGACGGACGACGACGAAGACCACGACGACGACATTGAATGACGATGGCGACGACGACGACGACCAACGGCGCCGACGACGACGACGGACGACAGTGACGACGAAGACGACGACGACGCCGGACGTCGACGACGGACGTCGACGGAGGACGACGAAGACCACGACGACGATGATGAATCGCGATGACGACGACGACGACCAACAGCGCCGACGACGACGATGGACGACGACGACGACGATGGACGACGACGACAGACGACACTGACGAAGACCGCGACGCAGACGAAGTACGACGGCGACGCATACCGACGACGACCGACGATGACGACGACAACGACGACGACCGACGACCGACGACCGACAACCGACGAGCAACGACGCCGACGACGGCGGCGACGATGACTCACGACTAATTTCAACAACCACGGACGGCGACGACGACGACGAAGGACGACGGACGATGATGATGGACGACCGATGGCCGAAGACCACGACGACGACGTAGGACGACGCCGACGACGTCTACGACGACGACGACCGACAAACCACGACCGACGACGACGACGCGGACGAAACCGTTGAGCGACCACCGACGACCGACGACGACGACGACGCTAAACAACGATGCCCGATGGCGACGTCGACGTACGATCAACGACGACGTGCGACGACGATTGACGACGACGACGCCCGCGAAGACTACGACGACGACGAAGGACGACGACGACGCAGAAGACGACGAAGAGCACGACGACGACGAGGAAAGACGATGACGACGACGACGACGACCGCGACGACGGCGACGGCGACGACGACGACGACGACGACGACGACGGTCGACGACGGACGACGACGCCGTCGACGACGGCCTCGCGGTTGAGCGGGCGGGCGGACGCTGCTGGGCGGGGCAGGTCGGCGGGGCGGACCCGCCCGCCAGGGGGTTCGTCCGCCTGGCCGGGCCCGCCTGTGAGGGCCTGCCCGCCAGGCGCGACCAGCGTCGTGTGGTCGTCGGCGGCGGCGGCGTCGCCCGTCGAGGTCGGTTTCGTCGTTTTTCGGCGTCGGCGTCGTCGTCGTTGTCGTCGTCGGTCGTCGGTCGACAGCGTCGTCGTCTGCGTCATCGTCGTCGTCATCGTCGTGCTCGACGTCGTCTTCGCTGTCGTGGTTCTCGTCGACGGAGTCGGCGTCGACGTCGGCGTCGGTCGTCGGTCATCGGTCGTCGCTCTTCGGTCGTTCATCGTCGGCATCGTCGGTGTTTGTTTGTCGTCGTCGTCGCCGTCTTCGTCGTCGTCGTCCTCATCGTTGTCGTCCTTGTCGTCGTCCTCTTCCATCGTTGTCGTCGTGGTCCTCGTCGTCGTCGTCCGTCGTCGTCGGTTTCCGTCGTCGGCGTTCTTTTCCATCGTCGTCGTTATCCTCGTCGTGGCGTCCGTCGTCGTCGTCATCGTCATCGTCGTTGTCGTGGTCATCGTCGTCGCACGTCGTCGTCGTCGATTGGCGTCGTCGTGGTCGTTGTCGTCATCTTCGCTTGTTGTCGTCGTCGTCGTCGTCGTTCTTCGTCATTGGTGTCGTCGTTGTCTTCCTCGTCCTCGTCGTTTTCGCTGTCGTGCGTCGTCGTTGTCGTCGTGGTCGTCTTTGTCCGTCGTCTTTGCCGTGGTCGTCGTCGTTTGCCGGCGGCGAGTTGGGGAGGGGGGGTGCGTCATCCCTCCTCTTCCTCCCCTTGATCGTGTGAGGATTTTCGTTATTCCCCTTCCCCCCCTCCGTTTCACGGGGGGAGGGCCCAGACCTCCCGGTTCTTGGGGGGGCGGGGGATGGGGTGCTCCTCCTCCTCCTCCTCCTCCTCCTCCTCCTCCTCCTCTGCCTTCTCCTCCTCCTCCTCCTCTGCCTTCTCCTCCTCCTCCTCCTCGTTCTCTGGGGGAGTTTTGGGGGGGGGGGCCAAGGTTTCTGATCCCCCGATCCGATGTTTTGTTCAAGGGGGTGGCTCGCGCTTCCCTGGTGACTCCGTCGGTTCCTGGGGGCTCTCCTGTCTCTGGATACGTTCCAGCAGCTGCGCCTCTCCGAGAGCGTTGGGGGGGTGGCCCAGATATTCTCGGGGGTGGCCAAGAAGGGGGTGATGACTAGGGGGGTGGATATCATGGCGTGGGCCATGATATTTCCTCAGATTTCATGGCGCCTCTTCTTATTTCATTACGTCCTTGGCCCCCCCCCCCTGAGCCACGCACATGCCGCCGGCTATGATTTGCGCCCCCCACTCTTGGAAGCCCCCCTCTTTGCCGCCCACGATATTCTGGAACGATCCCCAGAGACCTGATTTAATGATGTCCCAGAAGCCCACAATTCGGAGGAGGGCCCCAGAACAGTGCGGTGACGGATCGTGAGGAGGTCGTTGGGGATTCCGAGATCACCACGCGGTCCGTCACCAAGTAGATTTGGGGCTCCGTCCCAGCGATGACGTCTCCTCGTCCTCCTCTTCCTCTGCTCCCCCCGCCGCCCTTGAGAAGGCTCGTTCGTCACGGGCACAGCACACGCTCAGCCCCCTTGAGCGACCGCAGGGGCGTAGAGGGCCTGCGACACCGGCGTCCCGAGGGGCGCGGTGTCAGTTCCACGACTTCAGCGCCTCCTCTTCCTCATGCTCCTCATTCCTGGGCTCGGGAGGGAGGCGAAGGTGTGGCGGTGGTGCAGTCCGCAGTATTGGCACAACACCCGCTGCAATTTCGCCTCGCCATTCGCTGTCGTCTCGCCTCTTCTGCTCTCGCCCTGCAGCCACTCGAAGCCCGAAGGCCCGTCGTCGTGGCTCCTGGAGCTGGAAAGCGACTCCGACATCACGGAGACCGCTTGGCTATGGCATGTTGCTTAGGGCGACCAGGGAAGACTGAGTAGAAGGCGCCATGCAATTTCAGATCGGTTGCGCTAGCTACACGTGAATGCGGTGCAGCATACCTTCGAAACACTCGTGCTTGCACACGCGCGTGGATGAGGACGAGTATGTGTGTGTGTGTGCTCGCTCGTGTGTGCAAGTCGCCCACTTGGGGAAACACATGCGTAGGGACACGCTTGAGCGGTCAGACATGGCGTGCGCACGCACATGCATGTACATAAACTGCGCAACTCGTTCGGCCTCCCCCGCTGGCGGTCGTGGAGCCGTGCTTGGCGCCGTGCATGCCGCTCACGCGCTGAGCTGCAAGCAAAGCTCCTCTGGACCCGGCGCGGCTTGGGACCAGACTCCCGTTGTTGCTGCTGCTTCGGCTGCGCGGGCGGCGTGCCCGAGTGCTCGGTCGTGACCGTCTGCAGACCACCTGTGTGCACCGTACCGCGGTGGCGTCCCCCGAGGCGTCGTCGATCCTTGACCTGGGAGTGGCATCGTGAAGGCCTTACGGCCGGTGCCGCCGACCCTGAAGGTTTTGGCCGTCGATGGCGACGGGATGTGTGATCACAGGAAGGAGCTAAAGAACAACGTGCCAGGGTAGGCGGAGGAAGTGTGTGAGGAGGAGGAGGAGGAGGAGGACGAGGGGGAGGAGGAGGAGGAAGAGAAGGAGGAGGAGGAGGAGGAGGAGGAGGAGGAGGAGGGGGAGGAGGAGGAGGAGAGAAGGAGGAGGGAGGAGGAGGAGAGGAGGAGGAGGAGGAGGAGGAGGAGGAGGAGGAGGGGGGGAGACAAACGAAAAGGAGATGGAGAAGGTGGCAAAACACACTCAGGAGGAGGAGGAGGAGGAGGGAGGTAGTATTCTGACCCGGGCCCCCCCCCCCCCCGGGACCCCCCCGGGACCCCCCCCGGGCTTCCCCCCGGACCCCCCCCCCGGGCCGGGGAAGGGAACAAAGGGAAGGGGAAACCTTTCGAGTCAATTTACTTTACGCAGGAGGAAGAGATGGAGGAGGAGGAGGAGGAGGAGGAGGAGGAGGAGGAGGAGGAGGAGGAGGAGGAGGAGGAGGAGGGGAGAGACGAATGAGAAGGAGACGGCGAAGGTGGGAAAGGGAAGGAGGCACGAACGAGAAGAACAACCGATTCCACACGCCGACAGGGTCGGCGGATTTGGAGCCGACTGGGGTCTGAGGTGGCCCAGCACCGGCTCCGGCCAGGAGCAGGGGGTGGGGGGGTGGGTGGGGGGGGGTGGGCGAGGTTCGAGGTGCTGGGTTCGAGGAGGCGCTTGCCTTTTTCGGTCTCTTGATTTTGAGCGGACTTGGCTTCAGCCCCCCCCCCCCCTGACCGATGTTCTGGGGTACCAACCAGCTCACACCCCTGGCCGGCCCCAAGTATGGTGCATACGGTGGGGGCGTAATGCGCCCAAGGGGGCTTCAGACCCTGGAGGATTCCTTATCGGCTGAGGGCGGCAGTGATACCCATGGTCAGTCCACGATTGGAGTTCCACTGGCTTCCAGACCCTGGATTCCTTACTCAATGGTTCCTTATCCAACGCCCTCACCGTAGTATTTCGGACGTCAGAGCCGAAGAACTGAGCACCGCACCGCGCTGGAGCGGGACCCGAAGCGAGTCGAAGCATGGTGCGGTGTATGTGGGCGCCGTTCTCGCAGAGGTCCCCGCGGTGTTCCGATGGTAAGTTCACGGTGCCCAGTGAGTGCCCGCAGTGTGCCGTGGATGTTTTCAATGGCCCCCGTGAATATCCACAGGAGTCTCAGCCTGTTTTCGAGTTGGCCGCTACGACCACCCAGTTGACCCTCGGAGGGCGTTTGTGGTGTGGGCAGTGGTGCTATCAGCATGGTCTGAGCATGACCTGTGGTGTCGGTAGTGGTACTCACCTGGATGGTTTGAGCAGCGGGTGTGAGGATGTCGCTAAGATGTCCTGTGGAGGTGTGGTGAGCGTTTCCACCGTGATGATCCCCGCTGTCCTGATGATGTCCCGATGTTTCCCCGAATGCTTTTCGACAGCTCTTATGTCCCGCTGGTGTCCCGACGGGTTTGCAAGGGTTTCCCGTTGGGCATGTGCTGATGTCATGACACGACTGATGATGTCAATGGGCATAAATGCGGCATACATTGGGTTTCGGCTTTTCTCGCTACAGTGCCTGGGTCGTTGGCAAGAGGCGGCTTCTTAGATGCATCTCGGTGTCTCTTGAGATGCCAATCGTGGGCCTTTGGGCTGCCTCCAGAGTGCCTACTGTTAAGTCGGGCCTGTCCCTCTACAGGAGGAAAATTCAAAAATAGTCAAATATAGTTCGGGGATATTTGTTTATGTATGTTTGGCTATGTTTGCGCATGGTTTGACTATTGTCAATCTTTCGTCTAAAATCTGCCTGTAGGGGGACATTCCCGACCTACACCCACTGGCGGTCTAGGGTGTCATCGTGGGTGGAGGGTCCCGGGTGCCTCCTGAGTTCCCCCCCTGGAGGGTCTCAGGGGCCTGCGTCGGGAGCCTCGGGGGCGATCTGGGGCGGGTATTGGGGCCTGTGTCTTGGACGCCGTAAATCAAGGGCAGAAAAAAACGCCCCTACCCTGGTTTACGAGGCGCTGTGCTCTGAAACTCCTGTGGGCTGACAGGGTAAACCCTGCGTGATGTGCCGCGTCCTGGCGGCTCTAGGCTTTGGGGGTTCCCAGGAGGTTTACAGACCACGCACTTGTAATCCAGGGTAGGGTCGTTTTTTCATCCCTCAAGACCGAAAAAGAGGGCATGCGGAAATCGCTCAATGACTCGATGCGCTTGGAGAACGCTGCGATCTTGGACCTGCCCCGAGGGCCTCCAAGACGGCCCCAGCGGCCACCAAGACGGCACTGGGACGCCCCCTGGGAACATCCTTGTAGGGCACACTGGAAATCAGCAGTCTCAATACAGCGTCCCGGGCCTGCGGAGAAATCATGACCCGGGTCTCCTGAGCTGGGGGTCTACGGCCTTCTAGGATCGTTTCCAAAGCCCACGATCGAGGACTCGACGGGACCTGTGGGTATCCCGCTCAGTGCTTACGGCAAGGTGGCGGATCGTTGCAGGACGGAGTGTGAGAGACGCTTTGGGTTTGTTGCTACGTTGTCCTGGTTGGGATGTTTGTGCCAGGTTTGCCGTTGTGTTGTGCGGTGTCTTTTTGTGGTGTCTGGTGTCGTTGAAGCTAAACCTGGACTCTGAAGGAAAACTTAAAAACTACAAAGGCAGGCGTTAAGCCCAATGCTCAAGCAAAGTCAAACGCGGCAGCGGAATGTAAAGGCGTGCGCGCCAGCAAACATCGAATCTAAAACGTATCCTGCAAGCCAAAGCAGAGTACGTTGGATGGGGTCCCAGGGTGTTATGTCGCGGTGTCCCCAAACATGAATGTGAAGTGTTCATCATGCTATCGTTCACTCTTCCGTGGAATTCCATGTCCCGTAGTAGGAGATCCCGCCTTGCTTTTTACCAAAGATGGAAGCCAAAGAAACTTCGTTCAGGGAAGAACGCAAACAGGACATATAACTTGCTCAAGTGTTTCAGATGGTTACGGTGATCCCCTGGAAGATATGGGCAAAAGTCACGAACCATCAAGGGCGATGGGCTATCCGACACCAGAGAACATGATTACGCGTGCGGACGATACACTTACATTTCAGGTGTACGGAAGAAGACATCGAACCTGTTGATCTTGTGGGGATTGATGAAGTTAGTCAAAACTGATTGCGTCCACTGGAAACTTACATCAAAAAGCACAGCAACAACAATGCCCCAGGCATCCGACACACTGAAGTAAGTATCGCGTAAAAGCAACATATTCCTTAGGGGATTCCTTCGAATGTCGAGGGGTTCGTATGATTCCTCAAGACTTCTTTAGGATCCCGTAGGGCTCCTAGGGGGGGTAGTCTTGAGGGATCGCCATGGCGGTGCGAGGATACGCTTTGCCGAACGCGTTATCGCAGTGCTGGAAGGGGAGGGCAGTGTGTCAGGTTGCGGCGGCATGACCTGGGGATGTTTCATTGGCATCCGGGAATGGACCCTGGCGAGAAGGGCGAGAAAGTTGAGGGGGGGAGAGGAGGGAGGCGGAGCCAGACGCCAATAGGCAGCGGCGCGCTGAGGTCAGACGTTACTCTGGGCGCCGTTCACTGGAACCACCTCCTGTGGGTTGGCCCGCCCTGGCTGCTCGCCGCGCGCCCAGTCTGCGCGATCCGATCTCGACAGGGGAAACAGGCTCGAGGACGAGAGGACAACGGCTATAAGGAGCCTGCGGAGGAGAAGAAGCAGGGGGGGGGAACCCACGGAGAGGGGGGATCGCAGTCCGCATGCCGCCAGTACGCCGCAGCTGCTTCGGAGCAGGCGCCGCTTCTTGCGCCCCAGGCCCCCTCGATCCGAGGGCTCGCAGCCCGCCAAAAAACCAATAGCTAGGAGCAGTCAGCAGAAAGTGAAGCAGACAGAGAAGAGTAGTGCCCCCAAGCTTGGACACCTTGTCCTGCGGAATGCCGAACACCAACGCTTGTACCTGCGCGGCGAACCGCAGATCGACTGGCTCCCTTTACCCATCGACTGAGCGCGAAGTGGGCGGGAAGGGCCCACTGGCTCGTCCACCACCGCGGCCGAGACGCCCACAGGACATCCGCCGATCGTGCCAGCCCGAGCGTGCTCGGCGGACTCACTCGAGAGCGCCATTTCGCGACTCCGTGCTGGGCGTGCTCGCTTGAAGCGCAAGTCGCGGTCGCGCTGCTCCGGTCGGCCCCTGGTCCCTGCCCCGCCGTTGCCTGCCAAGGTCCTCTGCCTGCTGGGCTCCTTCCAGAACTGCCTGTTTGCCGAGCTTTACACCCGCATGCCAGGGCTCGAGGGGCGCACGAGAACGGCAGCAGGAGGAGGAGGAGGAGGAGGAGGAGGAGGAGGAGGAGGAGGAGGAGGAGGAGGGCCAGCAATCGGTGCTCTTCCTGCCTCGGGATGCATTCCGGCAGCCGCGCCTCTCAGAGAGCGTTCTGGGAGCGACAGGATCGTCCCGAACGGCCGCCGGAGACCCAAGTCCTGGCCCAGGCGCCAAGCAATCGGGGAAGGATTGGTGTGGTGAGTCGATGGGGATTCGGGGTCACCGTACGGTTTTGGGGGACCCGGGTCGTTCTCCGAGGACGTCTCGGGCAACTGTGGCCTCCCGGGTCCCAGAACCTCGCGGTGGCTGCCCGCGCTGTAGATCGGGCCGGACAAAAGGGGGCGATCGGGAAAGGGGGGGCTACGACATCTGCTGCATGCAGCTGGCTTCGGCCCCACCGAGGGGCCCATTCCTCCATATGCATGGGCGCCTCCCGGCGCCGGGAAAGGCGCCGGGAGAATCAGCCACGCGAGCTGATTCTCAAACCCTCCCTTTGTTATATGCTATCCCCCCCTTTCGCCCGACCCGAGTAGGGTCTTTGGGGACGTCGAGGCCACCGCGCGGTGCGTCGCCACACGGCCTGGGGGGCCCCGAGGTGAGGGGGGAGCGGGGCGGAGCGACGCACCTCAGATCTGGACGCCCGAAATGGGCACGGAAAGAATGGGTACAATGCCTAACAGCAGTTCCTGTTCGTTTTGAACAGGACTCGCTGTCCACGCCGCCGCGGCCTGTGTCCATTTGAGACAGAAGGCCGCCTGCCCAACAGCGGCCGCTGATGGTTTGGGACAACATTTGTTGTTGGGCATTGTACCCATTCTTTCGGTGCCCATTTCGGGCGTCCGAATCAGAGACGGGGGCGCACGCCGGGGGCGGGCAGAAGCCCCAACAGTGGCACGTCGATCAGTGCATTGTCCGTTTTCGATGCTCGAGGCGGCGCCGTGGCCGTTAGTTTCCAGGCCTGCGCCCGCCAGGTTTGGGCCTCAGTCGGGGGAGCGTAAGACCCGGGTTTGCCAGGACTCGGGTTCGCCATCGTTTTTTGACGACCGCGCCTCGGATTTTGACGAGGAGGAGTTCCGTGGGATGTCTGCAGCGGGAGGCCTCGTCAAAATGCAGGCTCGGCCTCGTCATTTTTTTGACGACCTCGTCGGGGATTTCCGAGTCCCCTGTACCCAGGTCTTACGTCCCCCTGACTCAGGTCGTTTTCACTAAACCACGTTTTACTAAAGGGGGGTTTGTCCATCCCCGAGCACGCCAACAGCAGGCACACCCGAGACGACACCGCCCTGGCAGCGGGCGTTCCCCACGGTAATGTCTCGCCTCCCGAGGGGCCCGCAGAGCCGTGGGGCACCTCGCGGAGCTCAGCGCCGAGGAAGGATGTGCACCTTTCCGACGGCGGGGGCGCTGTTTCAGGGAATGTGCCCAGGAGATTTCAGACCCTGGGGGGGTCCTTATGCAGGAGGGAAAAAAAGAAGCACACAGACAATGGATCGTCGATTCCCAGAACATGTAGGAGAAAATGGGAAGTAAGTGGGGGGTGAAGCCGAAAACCCCAGGAATTCTGAAAAAATATGGGGAATCCTTTCAGGGAAAAAGAGAAACACACAGACACAATGAATCGTCGATTCCCAGAACATATCGGAGAATATGGGAAGGAAGTGAGGAGGGAAGCCGAAAACCCCACGATTTCGGAAAAAATGCTGGGAATCCTTTCATTTGGGTGTATCTATTCATGTGTGCGTCCCTGGGCTCCTTGACTTGTCAAATGAGGGCGGTGGTGATACCAATGGCCACTCCATGATTGGATCTCCACGGGCTGCTGGGCCCCGGACTCCTTTATCCAGCGGTTCCCTATCCAACGCCCTCGCTGTACGGGACTTCGCTGCGGCGCCCCTGCAGAACGGGGGTGGGGGGCATTCGACGGTTGCGCGGAGAGGGACCCACTGGTGGCGCGTCACTGAAGTTGCGTTGAAGCTGCGGCGGGGGCGTTCGTTCAGGAACATGCCCAGGAGACTTCAGCCCCTGGGTGGGTCCTCATCCAGCGAGGGCGGTGGATATCCATGGCCACTCCAAGATTGGAGCTCCACGGCCTTCCAGACCTTGGATTCCGTATCGAGCGGTTCTTTACTCAATTTCCTCACCGTTTTCGATGCACCTTGAAATCCGGACTCTCTCCTCATTCACAGAAGGTCGGAAAGCCTTGTCCGTCTTTTCTACGTATTGGCCGATTTGTCCAAAGGGTTACGCCACTTCCACCAGACCTCTCATCCTCCTTCCCCACCTTCCTCCTTTTCCACCTCCTCCCAGCCTCCTCCTCCTGCTGCACTTGCTCCACCTCATCCGTTGCCCTCCTCCCCCGCCTATCTCACGTGAGAACAGGCTTGACCCACTGAGCCCCCCATTTCCGCACAGGGGGGATCGGAGATACGGACGGAGCGGTTCGGAGGGAGCGCGGAGGCGGATGAGGAAGGATGGTGAGGAGGAGGAGGAGGAGGAGGAGGAGGAGGAGGAGGAGGAGAAGAAGGAGGAGGAGAAGGAGTAAACCCAAGATGAATCACCGATGCCGCAGTACACCATCCCATCCCCACTCTTCTGTGGCCTCTACAGGCACTTGTCCCGAATAGCGCTGCGTCAGAGCATTTAAACATAGAGGCAACACAGGAGCACAGAGGAGTCTCACAGGGTGGACGTGGAGCCCCAGAATGCCCGGTTCCTGTCCAGCGCAGCCATTTTGCGCGGCGAGGCCTCATGATTCTCACCTTTCCCGAACAGGACCGCAGAAGAGCCCCACCGGGAGGGCGGGGAGCCCGAGAACGCCCGGTTCCCCGCTGGTCCGGCGGCCGCTTTGCGTGGCAGGGCCATCGGGCTCTCGCCGGTCCAGACTTCTTAGGTCAGTTTGGCGTGGCAGTCACTGGTGGTTTCCAATGGAGGTAAATGACAATTTCCAGCCTGGAACATATCCCTATCCCTATGCTGGGCATCTCCTCATCACGATGCCGATCTTAGGGATTCCCTTATTCTTTTGAGGGCGAATCCCTAAGATTGTCATCGCCTTTTGGCGTGTCGATCTCAGGGATAGGGATACGCTTGAGGCTGGTAAGACCAGAGAAGAGTCCCACAGGGAGGGTCCTCATGGACCGCAGCGGAGTCCCACGGGGCCCACAGGCCCCTCGGGCCCCGCGTGTCCCACGGGCGCCACAGGCCCCGCAGGTCGTGCAGAGGCCGCACAGGTCCCACAGTCCCGACACGCTCCGCAGGCCCGGGAGGCCCCGCGGGCCCCACAGGGCCCCAGAGGTCCGCCGCCCCCCTTGTCGATTCATGGCAGGGGTGCCTGGCGTGCCGAACCCTATCGGTTTTGGCTTTGGCTCTTTCTCCATATCAATATATGCTCCCCCCGGGGCTTCGGCCCGTCCCGCCGGGCCCCCGGAAGACCCGCAGGCGTCTTCGATCCCAGAGGCCCCCGCAGGGCCCCACAGGGCCCCACGGGGCCCCACAGGTTCGGCGGGCCCCGCGCGGGCCCCACGGGCCCCCCGCAGGCCGCGCGGGCCCCCACACGGGCCCCCCACGGGCCCCCACGCGCCCCGCGCAGCGGGGCCCAGAAGGCCCCTCGCGGGCTCCAGCAGCCCGGGCGCGGCGTGGAGCTCTCCGCGCGTGGAGAGCGCGAGCGCCTCCCGTGCCTCGGGGCCGTCGAGGCTGCGGCACACGGCTGCCATTTGGTTCCGGGAGGGGCCCCGCGGCGGCCCCGCGCGGCACGGGAGGCACCCGCCGTCCCACGGTGGCCGCTGCGCACGCGGCGGCTTCCGCTCGTGCCGGAGGCGGATCGACCTCCTGCCCTGCCGCGTCGATGGGCGAATTGGCCGCTTTCGGTTCGCGAGAGGGCGTCGGGGCCGTCACTTTTGCGGGTCCGGGTGCGTCGGTTTCGGCCTCAGGCCGTTTTCACCCAAGGGAGGTTTGCTAAAGGGAGGCTTGTCCACCGCCGATATACTTGGTCAAATCTTAGGCGAGGGCTCCATTTTGACAGGGGGCCGTCCTCCACCCGGGCAACTCTTGCCGAATCTTGCATGCGGGGTCGCACTTGTTGGAGAAGTCTCAGGCGAGAGCCCAGTTTTGACGAACCGAGCTCCATCCGTGTAGCTGTTGGCTGCTGTCAAGACGAATGCGCGCGGCGCTGAAGCGGTGGCGGCACTTCGAAAAACACCACCCGTCCATCCGTGCAGTTGTTGGAAAGTTGAAGCTGCGGGGTGGCATATTCCAATGGAGTCTTAAGCGAACGCCCCTTCTCAGCCTGTGTACACGTCTGGAAGTGCGAGAGTAATGGGGAGGGGATGAGCGCTGGGAGGTAGAAAAGATGAGGAGAAGAGGAGCGAACGGAGGAGGAGCAGGAGGAGGAGCAGGAGGGCGGTGGATGAAGCAGAGGAGTAGCGAGAGGGTGAGGGACGACCAGGAGAAGAAGCACGTAATTAGAAGGGGGGGGAGAAGCAGGAGGGCAGTGTCAGAGGGTGAGGGGGAGGAGGAGAGGGAGGATGGTGAGGAGCGTGAGTCAGCGCAGCGGGGGGGAGCGCGTGGGCGCGCAGGCTCGTCGACCCCGTGACCCCTGACCAGGTGCCGGGGCCGCCGCCCTGCGAGGGAGTGAGGGAGCCAGGGCAAGGGGCGGGATGGGGTACCCATCGGTCGTTGAAAGTGGGTATTTCTGGATCCCCAGAACCCAATTTACTTCAAGCGCCTTCCTAATTCAAGAATCTATCGGCTTTTGCGGCGTTTTGTTGCTCTCTGGGCGGGCCCGAACCCAATCCACTTTATCCGCCTTCCTACTTCATGTTTCTACCTAGTTCTTCCGACCGATGGGTACATCATAACGCCCCAGTTGTTTTCCTTTATTGGAAGGCGACTTTTTCAAACAAAAGCAGATCGAATGAGCGGCAACATAATCCGATAAGAAAACTGGACAGACTCGTCCAACTGGCGGCTGGTCTCAGCCGTCCAGAGCCTGCTTAAGCTGACCCCCAGGGGGGTGGGGCAACGCCAGGCAGCCATGCGGGCGAGATTGAAAGGACCCTTTTCGGGGAGGGCTCACGCCTGCCAACAAGCCAGAGTCCGATGTGAGCGTGGTTCGCGGGGGGGGGAGCGAGAACGGGGGGAGGAGGGGGAGGAGGAGGAGGAGGAGGAGGAGGAGGAGGAGGAGGAGGAGGAGGAGAAGAGGAAGACGAGGAGCAGCCGGAGGAGGAACAGCAGCAGGAGGAGGAGCAGGAGCAGGAGCAGGAGGAGGAGGACGATGAGGAGAAGCAGCAGGAGGAGGAGGAGGTGGAGGAGGAGGAGGAGGAGGATGGAGGAGGAGGAGGAGCAGGAGGAGGAGGAGGAGGAGGAGGAGGAGGAGGAAGAAGAGGGGGAGGAGGAGGAGGAGGAGGAGGAGGAGAGGAGGAGGAGGAGGAGGAGGAGGAGGAGGAGGAGGAGGAGAGGCGAAGGAGGAGGAGGAGGAGGAGGAGGAGGAGGAGGAGGAGGAGGAGGAGAAGGAGGAGGAGGAGGAGGAGGAGGAGGAGGGAGGGAGGGAGGAGGGAGGGAGGGAGGAGAGGAGGGAGGGAGGGAGGGAGGATGGATGGAGGAGGGAGGAGGAGGAGGAGGGGAGGAGAGGATGAGAAGGAGGAGGAGGAGGAGCAGGAGGAGGAGGAGGAGGCGGAGGGGGAGGAGGAGGAGGAGGAGGAGGGAGGAGGAGGAGGAGGAGGAGGAGGAGGAGGAGGAGGATCAAGAGGAGGAGGAGGAAATGAAAGGTGAGGAAGAGGAGGAGGAGGAGGAGGAGGAGGAGGAGGAGGAGGAGGAGGAGGAGGAGGAGGAGGAGGAGAAGGAAGAGGAGGATGAGGAGGAGGAGGAGCAGGAGCAGGAGCAGGAGCAGGAGCAGGAGCAGGAGCAGGAGGAGGAGGAGGAGGAGGAGGAGGAGGACGAGGAGTGTGAGAGAGACGGAGGATGGAGGCTGGAGAAAGAGCGAGAAGGCGGCGAGGGACAAGGAGGAGGGGGCCGCACGATGTCGACAGCGCAAGCCTTGGCACCGAGGGGGTTCGACCGGTCTCGCGCATCCCGCACGGCAGCGGCCGCGACGAGACGTCTCAGAGCAGGGGCGTCGCTCAAGCCTTGCGAGGAGCCACGCTGGGCTACGGCGGGGCTCGCCGTGGGCTGCCGCACAGTGCGGCTCACAGCTGGGCGGGGAAGCCCTCGGCCAGTGCGCGCGCACACGGCTTGCACCGCGCGCGGCTCGCCCGCGACGTTGGGCTCTGCACTTCAGCTCCACCCACCCGCCTCGTCTGTCGCGCACAACGCGCTTGCCTGCCTACGGTCGGCGGGGGGGTGGGGGCGGCAGCTGTGTCCTCGCCGCGAGGCGGCAATCCCCAAGCATCCTCGCGCTGCGAAACAGATGCACGTCCACTTGCCTAGCGCAGTCCACCACCTGCAGCACCTGCGTCGTGCAGTGGTCCTGCTCGAGCGTGCCCCGTTCGAGCTCTCGCTGTGATGGCGCCACTCGGCTGGTGGGGGAAGGAGTGCCCGCCGGCGGGAGGCCTCGCCGTGCTGCTGCCTCGTAGAGCCTCGTGCGCAGGGGTCCGGCACGGCGTCTGCGAGGCGACGGCGCGGTGGCCCTGCGGCGCGCGCAGCGGACTTGGGTAAAGCAGGGCCGGGATCGGGATACATCGCTCCAGAGCGTTCCGGAGCGCTCTCAGAGCGTTCCGGAACGCTCTGGAGCGGCCGCGGCGCCCAATACAGCCTCCAGACCCGCCGATTCTCGGAGATTTCGAGTGATCCCGATCCGATGTTGTCCCGATCTTCGCGCCGTTTCATTGGGCCGGCAGATCGGCGGGGCGCCGCCCGCGCGAGCGCCGGGGTGCGGGGGGGGGTGCAGCTGGCCCGGCAGCTGGGCAGCGCGGCACCCGGCGCGCGAGGCCCGTGCTCGGCTGGCGGAGGCGGCCCGCGCGGGGGTGCAGTCGGGGCGCTGAAGAAGGAACCCTTCTCGTTGGGGAGGGGCTCGGCGTTCCTGGATTGTTTTGCAGTTTGGCTTGGGTTTTCCTGAGGTTTCCCATGGGAAATCGAAGTTCAACTTACGGGAGAAAGGGGCCCCGCTCCTTATTTAGGGTTCCTTAGGTCAAGGCCCCGACTGTAGGGGAAGGAGCAGTGACGGAGCATTTTCTTTGGGTGGAGGGCAAAGGGTGAAGTCTGAAATGCCGTCTCGATTGATGTTCGCCGCTTGAATCTGCAAGCGGTGAATCACATGACGGATTGATTTTCGAGGTGCAAAAGCCCATATGAACTTCACCCTGAGCCCTCCACCCTAAGAAAATGCTCAGAGTGACATAAACATAACAACTCGGAGGTCCGCGCGGATTTCTCGGATCGGCGCTGGGGCCCCCGTGGCGGCGCCTCTGGCGCCGATCCGAGAGATCCGCGCGGACCTCCGAGTTTTCATGTTTGTGTCACTGTTCGTTCCCCTAGGTGGGGGGGTGGCCGCGGCGGCACGGCTGCGCGGACAGAGGGCCGGCGGTCACAGTGCAGAGGCACCCTCAAGCTGGAGCCGAGGCTGTGTCGGGAAGGGCCGGGGCCGCTTTGGCTTCCGCCGTGATCTCTTGCACGCGCGTCGGGGCAGCGCTTCCATGCCCTTCTGCGTGCACGTCGTCATGCTGATCAGCAGTGGCTCGGCGGGGGTTCATCCCATCGTCCGGCTTGGTTGTTTTACCTTGCTCTGGCTCGCCTGCCTGCACGAGCGCGCCATGTGAACGAGCTCTTCCCCGGCGCGCGTGCTGCTGGGCAAGATCGTGGCACACACGTATGTGGCGCGCCGTCGACAGCCACTGCCTGCGCCTTTCATGGGCTCGCCTTCGGGCGCGCGGGCTTGACTTAAGTCAGGCATGTCCCTCTACAGGAGGAATATTATGACATAGTTTTACAAGATACTCAGGGGACGATGTTCCAGTATGCTCGAACAGCTTGCAGGTGCTGACTGTGTGTCATCTGTTTCGCCCAGAACGCGCCAGTAGGAGGACACGCCCGACCTGAGGGCTTGACCGAACCTGACCAGACCTGGTCGACGCTGCTGGCGCCGGCGCGGGCGCCGGACAACCGGCTGGGGCGAGGGCGGGCGCCGCGCGCAAGGAAAAGGAGGAGGAGGAGGAGGAGGAAAAGGAGGAGGAGGAGGAGGAGGAGGAGGAGGAAGAGGACGAGGAGGAGGAGGAGGAGGAGGGAGAGGAAGAGGAGGAGGAGGAGGAGGAGGAGGAGGAGGGCGAGGGGCGCCTCGGCCTCGGCAGCCGGCAGCCAGGGCGTGTGTGTGCGCCCTCGGTTGCCTCCCTGCTCTCCTCCGCTGCGCTGTCGGCCCAGGTGTTGGCCGGCGTGCGCGCGAGTGCAGTCGGGGACTTTGGGGCAGCGTGTCGCTCCACCGCTTCTGGCCCACCACGCTTCGGCGCGACACGCTGTCCACGCCCCAGCCCCCAAGCTTCAGCGCCTCGCGTCTTTGCCTGCCTCCCGCCCCCGCGGAACGGAGCGACACGCTGTCCGCTCGCAGGGCACAGCTCGCCCGGGACGTCGCCGCGACACGCTGAGCAAAAGTTCCCGACCGTACCTCTCTGCTCTCCTCTAGAGTTGCCCTTTCGGCTCAGATGTTGCCTGCTGTGCACGGCAGTGCCCTCTCATCTTGAGAGTAGAAAACAGTAAGCGCCTCCATCCGGCGGATCATTGGTGGGGTTGGCTACCTGATCCTTCCCCTCCCATCCGCACATGGAGGCGGGGGGCGAGACGGCGACCAGGGGCGCCATGGGATGGTGGGCTTTTCGAGCCAGGTCGGAAGGGGGGCCATGGCGTTCACGGAGGAGGCGCCACGGCGCGCTTCGTGGCAGATCGGCTGCCCTCCAGTGTCTGCCCCCCCTCTCCCCATGTCCGCCGCCCTCCTCCGGCCCGGGTGCCGACGTGCTCGAAGCCCTCGCTGCGAGAGGCGGAAAGCACCAATCGGCTCCATCACACGGAGCACTGGTAATGGAGGATGACGATTAATAAATGACCGGGGGTCGTGTTCACGCGGCGGCGCCTGGGATGATGATTAGAAAGAACCGGCCGCGGGCTGGAAAACTATCTTTTTTAATCGTTCTCCTCCAGTCAGAAACTGTGCAGAAATATCAGAAAACTGTTTTTTAATCGTTCTCTCCCATTTTTTTGTCAATCGTCATCCCGCAGTAGGGCTGGCTGTCGCATCCCTCCCTCCCCGTGCACACCACGGCGCAGGGGACCGGATAGCCTCGGCCACGGAGGCTGTGGGTGCGGGGCCCCGTGCCGAGGAGGAGGCTGGGCCCCAGGATTTGGCGGGTGCTCCTCCTGGAGGCCGGCGGCGAGCGGGGGGGGGGAAGTTGCCAGGAGAAGTCAGAAGGGCAAAAACACACAGGCACAATGAATCTTCGATTCCCCCGAAAATATGGGAAGATATGGGAAGTGGGGGGGAAGACGAACATCCAGAACATATGGGAAAAGATGGGGAATCCTTATTTTTTTGTGTGTGTATGTCTTTGTGTGTCCTCGGGCCCCTTGAAAGTTGGCAGGAGGAGGACCTCTCGGAGGGCGGCGGGGCTTCTCGGAAGCCCTCC